TCCGTTTTGGAGCAATAAATATATAACGGAAAAAAATAGTTAATTCTTTGGGTGTATGAATGAAGTTTATCGATATCGAATTAGTAGCTATAACTTTTTTATATGAATCGACGGATTTAATAACAGGTTTTCTGAAAATGTATATGAATGAATTACTTCAAGGCAATGATATGTCTAGACTTTTACATTACACTGAACTCAATAGTAATGCATTAATCAATGGTTTTTAACTGTGAGTTTTGCTAAAAGTTTAAATTATTTAATAAATAGTTTATACCTGCGATTGGCATACACTGTAATCCGGGCCACATTAACAATTATAAAACTGTGAATATTATAACATTAGTCTGTATTGAGATTAATATAAAAATGTTTAAAATTTTATCACTTATAGTGTGGTCCCCCCAAATGGCTCCAGTGTGCATCGTAGGTTTATATGATAGCAGACATATACTGCTCTTAAAGCAATCCATTCATATATTTATTTTGTTTTAAACTGTAAACAATGTATTAATTACAATTGATCCACTTGGTGCTGAAAAGAGTTATATATTTTTCAATGCAAACTGTATGCATAATATAACCATACGTATTATTAGTATCACTTATTACATTGTATACAATGAATACAATTATTATGTTATGTATACAGTTTGCATTGAAAAATAGATAACTCTTTTCAGCACTCAGACGATCAATTGATAGAAATGTGTTTTTATATAAATATAAACAATATTTACTTTACTTGACTTAGCATACATACATTTAATTAATAAAATACATTAATTAATACATTATTCATAATCAGGTATATGCATTATCAAGAAATCCGTTATTATATCCATTGAATCATATGAGTAGCATTAGACTTAATATATGGGTAAAATAAATTGAAATTATATAAAAAAAAGTTGTAGAGCTAGTTTCAATTTAAACTCAAGCATATCAATAATTTATTTTATCACGAAAACCACAACAGATTCTATTGATTCGATTCGCACTGGCCTAAGGCAACTAACAGTATGGTGCAATTTGAACTCGGACCATTTTGTTAAATACCGCTATCATTGGTTTGCGCGTGAAATTATGAACAATAGACCTACATTAATGTTGTACATACTGACCGACCTATGTTGGTTCCCATTGGATAGGCTTATTGAAAGTATGCACGAATACTTTAATCGGGAACCTGATGAATTACTTCCGGAAATTGCCTATTATATTGCATCGGAGATATTTTTAGAAATCCTTGAGGCTATAAAGTACTTGCACACCCTGCCAACTCCAATGATTCACCGGGCAATACAACCAAGTAATATACTAATAAAACATGATGGCCATGGCAGTTTTGTAAAATTGTCCGATTTTGGTTTGATGGTCGAGCACCAGTACCCGTCTCAATCGCATACACAATATCCGTATGGTGGAAAGTATATGGCCCCGGAAGTTAAAAGTTCCCGCTTATATAGTCTAACTTCGGACTTATATAGTGTAATGTATTTGGCACAAGAGTTATTTAACTTTAATGTGAACAAAATTGAGTAAGTTAAATATAATTATTTAGATTAAATATAAATTGGGCATATTTAAACGAATAAATTAATTGTTTTTAAAGTGAAATAATAATATATTATTGACAAATTTTGACATTATTACACAGTAAAATTAAACATTTTGAAAAATTTTATAATTATTTATCAATTATAATAAGTATTTCCTACTACCGAATAAGGCATATTGAACTTTAGAAATGTTAAACATTTTATAAAGAGTATTTAATATCGATACACAAGGTTGTCATTAATCATTTTTTATTTAATCTGCAGGACATATCAAAATCAAAATTATGAACCAAAATATAATGGCCTATTCTCAATTGTTTCACAAGGCCTAGATGGTGAACCTGTTAATAGAGGAACAATTGTTGGTATACTTGGAGATAAATCATCATACACATTGAGCATTTATGATGTTCTTAATGAGTTATCAAAATTACCCATGGACGAAGAATATAATCATAACACGAATTTTATTAATTATTTTTTAATGACTAAACTTAAGGATATTCACACATTTGATAACGCATTAAGTTATTTCAATGAAGATTTCTACAGATTAGAGTTATCTAATGTCGCAAAAAATAATGAATTTGAACTTGCTACTGTTGCTTGGAGACAGTATAAACATGGTCGCAAGCATACTTCATATAATAAAGTTAGGTCAAAAATTACTAATGATGACTACACTATTAGCCGAATTGACCTAAAAGGTTATGTGAAATTACTTTTACTTATTATGAAATCACATTTAATAGGCTTATGTTGTATAGTACCACAAAAATTTTTAATTAATTTTTTCTGCATTTTTGTTTTAATAGGTGAACATGACTTAAAATCTAAACTACAATCTCTAAACATCTTGATGAGCTTGAACCACGATTATGTTGTCAAATACATTACACATTGGGTTCAATCAAATGAATACAAACAATATTCCCTTTACATTCAACAGGAGTTATGTGTGCTATCACTGGACGATGTTATTACACAAATGCTTGATCATTTTAATGTTAAACCAAAACAACTATTACCAACTTTAGGATATTATATGGCATCCGAGTTATTACGCGAAACCCTGAGCGCGCTCAATTATCTTCATTCACAAAACCCACCTATAATTCACCGAGATATAAAACCGCAAAACATTTTGATAAAGGAGCATGCGCATGGCTTTGTTAAAATATCCGATTTTCGACTTGCGGTTTACCATGATCCTAAATCTTTATCGCATTCTCAGGGTAGAGGCACAGAGAGATATATGTCACCTGAAGTTAAAAGTGGGCGCCGGTATAGTCCCAGTGCTGATGTATATAGCATGGGTGTGGTTATACAGGAAATGTTTAATTTCGATATTAATACGATTGGGTTAGTAAAAATAAATAACCTTAATTGTTAAAATAACTTAGTTTTCGTTTTATTAAATTTAGAAAATTCAAAACAAATACAATGTTTGATAGCATTGAGGAGATTAGCAGTCATTGTCTTAAAGGTATGGCCAGTCAAAGATCCATTTGTCAACACATATTGAACAACTTCAACCAGTTGCAATTACAATGTGGTAATATTAGAGAACTTCTTAGATTAAATCAAAACCAAGGAAATAATTTTGATATTCACAAAGATTTTGTTGACTATTATTTGCATGCTAAAGGAAACTTTTTTAAATACAACTGAATAAAACATGTAGGTTATAGTAATTGTAACTTATACTAAATATCATTGCAATATTGGGGCCCATACATGTTAATCTAAAAGGTTTCAAAAATTATATCAACGATACACAGGTCCACTCACATATTGATATACCAGGACAATTATTAACAATTAGTATAAAAATAATAATTATATAATTAATTATTATAATGGTTTTTATTAATAATTTTTAATTTAATTATTTTATAATTTCTCATTTATAATGCTAATATAATTGAGAAAAAATAGTTTTTTATTTTTGTCCATTATAGACATGGGCCACCAGATGTTATTATAAATACCATAAACAATTGTGACAGATTAGTGTGCCAATACCTTCAATATATCTGAGAAGCCAATATGAGATGAGTCTCTGAAAAATGCGTTTATTTCTTCTTTAAATATTGCTTTCGTGTAAAGTTTGAAATACTATATATAAACTGATTACTTTCAAACTTTACACTTACTCTGGGTTTCGCCGAAAAGGGTATAGATATCGCAATCGCAATATCCATTAATACCACATTATTATACCCCATTTTGTGAGTTATTATCACTCATTAAATTAGGCGTATGGCCGGACACTTCTTCGGGAAACCATAGGTTTGTCCGCATATTCTACATGTTATTACCTATTTAATCCCTAAAACTTAATTATTTATAAGCCATATATGTTAATAGTTTGTTTTACACCTAATCTCTTACTAAACAACAATTCTCAATGATAAATACTTCATTAATTTATTTAAAAGTCATTAAAAAGGGAATAACATGTAAAATATGCGGACAAACTTATGGTCTCACGCAGAAGTGTCCGGCCATACGCCTAATTTAATGAATGATACTAACTAGCAAAATAGTGTAGAATAATATGGTATAAATGAATATTGGGTTATCTATACCCTTTTCGGCGAAACCCAGAGTAAAACAATATATAAATAAGAAATAAAAGAGACTCATCAGAATGCATTTTTTTCAGAGACTCATCTCGTAATTGTTTCTCAAATATTTAATATTATATTTACACATAAATAAATTCAGTGTTGTCGCTAAAGAACGGAGCCATTTGGTAGGCTTGGCATTTGAACACCCTGTACTATTTTTTCATGATTCCTTTCCAAACTTTAGTATTTTAGTGACAACGCATGTTTAATTAAAAATTTGTATTTTAAACACCATATGACTGAATAATAATAAAAAATATCATAAATAGTTTTGTTTAATTTAAGTTTAATAGGCTACTTTCTAAATTTATTAAATAAAATATGGAATATACAGTACAGTAATGTTTATAAATTAACTTAGTTATACATATAAATCATAATATATAATTTTTAATAGATAACCTATTTAAAATTACATAATTTTTTTATAGAAATTATTTTGATATTTATATTTTAGTAATAAATATATTTATTCGATGCCTAAACTACCGAATCAAATATTTATTACTAATTCTTAAAAATAAGTTAAATGTAAAATACAGTGCAATAACAATCATATTTTTATTATTATTACAGAATTATAATTATAATACTCTATAAACTATGGTGCGAATATTATATCAAGTTGCTCTTAAAGGTACTAGTTTTATTGTTAAGAGTATTATTTTACCCACACATTAATGCATTATCAAAGGTTAATAATTATTTATAATCATTTAATTGTACTGTTACTTTGTTACTAAGGATATTAATGAGTTTAATAAATTGCAAGTTATCATAATCTAATAACAAGTCTCTGTAATTAATAATTTGAAATTAAATATATACCTTATTAAAATAAAATAATGCGTATATTTTCAAAATATTTAACAACAACAAATTTTTCTATATAAATAAGAGCAATAAGTAAATAAAAAACTAGAAAATTCATTAGATATTGTTTGTTTTCTATACTTACATAACGATTATCTTTGAGATAATTTTCAATGAAATAGTTTATATTACTTTAACGTATGTTGCTTGGCCTACGTGAGTCAATAACTTTGACAATTAGATTAATGTATTATAAAATAAATTGACAATTCTGTGGCGACAATTCAAGTGGTTTTAGTCTGTGTAACGCTGTAATGATATTAAGGTGAAATATATAGTTTACGATCTATATATTAATAAATATATTTCACTTTTAAATATATACTTTTTAAAGGTAAGCGTACTTTATTAATAAAAGATAAAAACTAACTATACGAATTAAAAGTTTGTAGTTTAATATAAATACTAGTAGAAAATAATGTAAATAAATTTATTTTAGTAATATTAAGTATATAACATTTAAAATAATTACTTAAGGTTGAAAGACTCCATTTAAAATAATTCCATTGTGTGTAATTAAGGGTGTATATGTAGCCAAGTGAATAACAATAGAATTAATCATAGAAAGATTATTTTATATACTAGTAATAAATTATCTTATAAGTATGTTACATTTTTATATTATAAAGTTAGTAATATATTTTATTAGTATAAAGTTATAATGATTTAATTTTTTATTAGACTTGCAAGCTGTTTACTATACCATAAACATATGAAATTAGAATAGCAATATAATTAATTATAAATGAAATGTTGAATACAATATTTGTGATATATCTATACATGTTTGTGTTACTAAATTAGCGTTACAAGTTTTATCTACTTAATTTCAATATAACACATGGGAAACATTATAGACAGAAATTGCATTTATTAAGATTAATTGGCACCAATATTCAAAGTATTTATTTATTTTTCAACGGATTTGGTGAGATAGGTTGTTTGATATGACATTCGGCATTTTTTAACATTGACTATATTGATTAGAAACCCACAAGAGCAATTGACATAAGTCAATTAAATTACGCCGACAAAGATATGCATATATTTAGAATATAAAAAGCTAAAACTTTGTATGAACCATTTTAATTATCATTAATCAGTGAAAACCTTTATTATTCATGGAAATTAGGTGGTTATAAAATTTAAAAAATTGGCCGTTATAGTCAACAAAAAAACTTTTTATTAATATTCCAAAGATGAATGTTGTTGTTTAAAATTCAGCAGCATTTGTATATTATTGACTTTTATACGCTAAAGTTTGAATATTAAATAGGTCATTTGACCTGATTTTGGATATATATATTAAAAATGGCTGCCAATTGCCCGGGCACCTACGAAAATATTCCAATATCCACAGGCAGACTGAATGCTAATTTTGTTAAACAAGAAGAAATTGGCGCTGGATCATTCGGAACTGTATATAGAGTTCATCAAAAATTATTTAATCAAGCACTTGCTGTCAAAGAAATTAATATGAAAAATGAAAAAGATCTTGCAAAAAATGTACGTGAACTGTCCGTATGGTTTCAGTTACAATCGGAATATGTAGTCAAATACCGAAACCATTGGTTTGAGAAAAACCCTGATACTTTTTTAACCATATATATCATAATGGATTTGTGTGATCATAACCTTAGACATTTGTTAACGGTTAAGTCTAAACGTTATAACCGACAAGGTGATATTACCCGTATAAGCGATTGGGAATATTTAATATGCTACTATCTGTATCAGGAAGTATTAATTGGTGTAGATTATCTACATACACATAAGCCAGCAATAATTCATCGTGATCTTAAACCTTCGAATATATTAGTTGCATATACGCATGATAAATTAATGATTAAACTTGGTGATTTTGGTTTAGCTACCAATCATGAACTTGACCAATCTCACACCGAAAATGTAGGGACTACGAAATATGTTTCACCAGAAATATTCCGAATTCGTAGATATACCACCATGGTCGATATGTATAGCATGGGCGTTATTTGTGAAGAGATTTTTCAAATTGATTCATTAGGGTAAATTTATAAATATAAATCTTTAAATCAGTTTGATATAATAATAGAGACATTATATTATAGGGATGATATTGTCGAGGGTAAATGTTTAAAACTAAAACAATTCATCAGGCAACTGTCAGCCACTATGCCTTATAACAGACCTACTAGCACCCAGGCATTAGAAATGTACAGTGAATTGAAAATTGATACAACATTTGCATTAAAAGAATACAATGAAAAAGATAACAAGCTCGATTATGTCATACTTTTAAAAGTGATGGAAATGCAGGACATGCCACTTTCATATCTTGATAAAAATAAGTTTGATTATTACAAAGATAAAGATATGCTCAAGGACATTGGCAACGATGTACACACTAATAAAAACAAGATTTCTGAATTTGAAAAAATCACTTTGTTACACGATGGAAGTTTCGGAAAATGTGTTTATATTGCCGAACATAAGTATGTTGGCAGTAAATTTGCTCTCAAGAGAATTCCATTTGATGGTAAATATAATTGCTAGTATTTATTTTTATGATTTTAATACTAATTATTTAAACATAAACCAATAAGTATAAATTATTTCCCTAAAAATACTTTTGTATAATTCGTCTATACTTTTTGCAACTTATAATTTATAACAAAGTACTAAATTATATTATATAATTGGAAATTATAATCAAAGTAAAATTAATATAAATGATGGTGAATATTCTCATTATTTAATTTATATTTTTAACAATCCAGACACTGAGAAAGTTAAATCGGGTATCAAGGCACTTCGTGTATGGGCACAATTGGATACTGACAATTTTGTACAATATCGACATCATTGGTTTTCAAACGAAAACATGCCTGATAATAAACCGGCAATAATGCTATACATATTAACAGACTTGTGTTGGTTTTCATTGGACAATGTTATACAACTTTTATTTGACTATTCTGAACTTGGTCATGCTAATTTGCTAGTACCAACTGCATTTTACATAGCATCAGAATTATTCATTGAAATTCTTGAAGCCATAAACTACTTGCACACGAAATCAACACCAATAATGCACCGAAGTATACAACCAAGCAATATCTTAATCATACATCATGCGCATGGACGATTTGTTAAATTATCCGATTTTGGGTTGGCTATTGAACATCATACAGAATCCCAGTCCCATACACAGTTTCCCAATGCAGGTAAGTATATGGCACCGGAGGTAAAGCAAAGTCGCAAATATGGTCTGTCATCGGATGTGTATAGTGTAGGTGTATTGGCTCAGGACCTTTTTAACTTTGATATTAATAAGTTTGAGTATGTACAAATTTTAATGCATTTATACATATAATTTAAATATAATTAGAGATAACAATTTATATTCATTTCAATAGCAAAATCCAAAATGAATATAAAAACTATTATATTAGCCTGGTTCTAATAATCACAAAATGTTTAAATGGACTTGTTACTGCAAGAGGTTCAATTAATGAGATTCTTGAAAATAAATTAAACTGGGCCTTAAAATACGCAGATGTTCGCGGTGAATTAATAAAAGTTTTCGATGTTAATGAAAAATATGATTATAAAACAAATTTTATAAAATACTTTTTATTGAGAAAATTTTTGATAAATGACCCTACTGAAAAAGCTACCGATTCGTCTAGAATTAATAACGAACCTGAATTGACTGAGGACACGTTTGCAGCAGGCAAATTTAACAATCATTTCATATTAGATACAACGAAGGAATATGAAAATGGTAGACACGGAAAACTATTTAAGGTTAAATCAAAAAATGATAATATAGACTATGTCATCAAAATGGTCAAACTGAAGGGTAAATTGTATAAATAATATTATTAACTGACATTATTATTAATATTAAAATATTTGATTTTGTCTAGGTGAGCATGATCTAAAATTAAAAATCCAATCACTTACAATCTGGATGAATTTGACCCACGACTATTTTGTCAAGTACATCGCACACTGGGCTCAGTCCAATGAATACAAGCAGTATTCCCTTTACATTCAACAGGAATTGTGCTGGCTATCTTTAGACAATGTTATAACACAAATGATTGAACATTTTTCTGTAAAACCAAAACAATTATTCCCAACTTTAGGCTATTATATAGCATCAGAATTATTAATTGAAACTTTGAATGCACTCAATTACCTACATAAACATGTATTACCCATAATTCACCGAGATATAAAACCGCAAAACATTTTAATAAAAGAACATGCACAGGGTTTTGTTAAAATATCGGATTTCGGCTTAGCAGTCTTCCATGATCCTAAGTCATTATCCCATTCCCAGGGTAGGGGTACTGAAAGGTATATGTCCCCCGAAGTTAAAAGTGGACGCCGGTATAGTCCCAGTGCTGATGTGTATAGCCTGGGTGTTGTTATACAGGAAATGTTTAATTTCGATATTAATACGATTGGGTTAGTACAGTAACATACATTATGATATTATTATTATAAATAATTAACAAAATTTTCAATATTTATAGAAAATTCAAAACAAATAAAATGTTTGATGCTATTGAAGAGGTTAGCAGTGATTGTCTAAAAGGTATGGCCAGTCAGCGACCCACTTGTCAACACATTTTGGATAACAGCAACCAATGGGTCCTAAAGTATGAGTCCGTAAAAGAACTCATTAAACCAAATGAAAACCTTAATTCCAATTCATCAGTAAATTTTATTGAATATTATTTGCAAAGCAAATACAAACTGGCTCAATATATATAAATCTCAGCTGGTACATAATTACTTTACCGGTTGTGGGCTCGGTAGACAATATATTTTAATTGATTATGGTAAATTGATTATGTCAACATTAAATATCAATAATCCTATTGATATTTATATATTATATATTGTATAATCCTGCAGGTCATAAAACGATGTAACTTTTTTGCAGATTCAAACTGTAATGATAACGTTTAATTGATTGTAAAATTTGAGATAAAATTTTTTAATAACATGAATTATAATTTATATAACACAAATTAAAATAATGATTAAATATAAAATATAATTTTAAATTATAATTCAATATATAAAGATCTTCAATTAAATCCGGAATGTAAGATTGTTTAATAGCTCGCTTATTACTTGTAGCTAAAATCTATACATTGGCACACTTAAAGTTCATTATGAGGTAGTAATGAAAAAACAAGAATATTCTGTATGACACCCGGAATATTC